GTGGGTGGGGGGGGGGGGGGGGGGGGGGGGGGGGGGGGCGGCTGCCTCTTGCAAGGTGAACTTTTGAGATCATTCAGCTCAGCTGTGCTTTAAAGAATTCTATAAAATACCTTACCATGTAAAAAGCCTTAGTGAATCATAAATGGGGGTATTGTGCTGTGCATTTGCGTTTTACACACCAGGTGACTGGGTTTGGAATAAGTTTCCAAAGATAAATACCCATACCTATACATACGCTGTCTTGTTCGCTCTAATAGCTGAGTGTTATTTTGGAACTGCTGCTTTGTTAAGCACATGCACCTTTCATTGCTTTGCAAAATGGTTGCATTTGTTTCCTTATTTCAATTCAACATGACATACACATGCCTAAGTGCACTCCAGTGGAACAGAACACAAAATAAATTTCAGAACACAAAAGCAGCATTTTTTGGATGTTAAACACGCACGGCAGATTAGGACTGCAATGTGATTGCTGTGCACATCTACATCTGTGCACTCATGCGGACCCACGTTGCAAGCATTGTATAATATTTATCCCTGCACTTGTTCATTTGCTTTCATAAATAAGACTGTGTGTATTTTCAGCTAGAACAACATGAAACATTCTATAATAGTATTTGCAGTATACCAACCCTTGAGCGGACTTACAGAAATGGAGGTAAATAAGGCTGCCCACCAGTTTAGTCCTCTGTGGTACAGATTTGAAAGATGTGCAATTAATACTAGAAGCAATCCTGAATGATTGTATGTATTATGTTCCTGTGGTTTAAAGCACATCACTGCTTTTTCTACTCACATGAACCTCAGCTTTCTACATATGTACCATTGTGAATCCAACACTTAAAATGTAGTATCTAAAATGAAAGACCAATACAGTTGACCATAAATACAAAAGATAACACCTAATACAATTAATACCAAGCGTAAGGCTAAGGCGGGATTCCACCATTGTCTCCAGGCCTCTATGGTTCTAACACAGGGAATATCACATGAATCCAGCAAGACTTCCATTCCTGAAAAAGACACCTAATTGTTTTAATAGTGGCCAGTCATCTGAACAGATATGAATGTTTTAATGCCAGATGTCATAGTCACAAACTTTGAGTTCAGCTCAATGTAAACGCTGGTGGCCCATGTTCTGGAAATACAAATATCTTGTATACTCTGTGAGTAATAATTGCCAGCCACAATTCCTCACAGCTGCTGCTTTATCATTGGCCACAATGACATAGGAGGCACACAGGCCCTTAACATATTGGGCCTTATTTATTAAAGCGCAAAACTAGAAGACGCACAGCCATGTGAAGGGAACCTGTGTTTAGTTTCAACATCTAATCACATGCTGGCAAAAAAAAGAGCTTTTACTTTACAAGTTTGGATGGTTGAAGTGAGCACAGGTTAACTTCACATCTCCTAGAAAATCAGGTCCATTGCCTTTGTCCTGACTTACACAGTAAGGCAAGACAAACAGCTAGCATTGGAAACAACAGAATTGGCAGTGCCTTTAGGACCTGTTCACATGATGTCTGTTTTCTGTGCTGACCTGATCCGTACGCTCCTGCACTAAAAATGCCTCCCAATGTATCCCTATGTGTTTTATGGGCTACAGTTCTCACGTGCGCAGTCCGTTCAGGTTACGACAGAAAAAATACTGCATGTCACATTTTGTCCGGTCAGGAAACGGACCGGAAACGCGAAACGCTTCAAAAACATGTCAAAAACGCACTGCACTGCAGCTAACATACTGACAGCCCCACTCCAGCAAAAAAAACAACAACTTGATCAGGACCTGATATCATGTGAACAGGCCCTTAGGATAAAGAATCCTCATTCATATGGAATAAGGGTAACAAAAACTCACATAGCTTAAGGGGGAAAGGTTGTAGGCCAGCTTAGTACATAAGCATACTGTATGTGGTTTCTATTAGAATAGAATATGTAAATATAATTTACATATTATTTTATAAGAGAATTTAGGTTTAAAAAAGAAGTATTTAGCATTAGATATATATTTTTTTTATAAATGCAGCATTCTAAGCAATGTGGACGTCTGACACTTAGTATGTATTGCCTCCAGTGATCATGGTACTCCCCCCTGACAATGCTTTTAAATGTTTGTTTCTTCAGGATGGAGCCATCTTTGTTCAGGCATTAAGTCTCAGTATCTACATCCTAGACTAAAGCTGGCTATACACAGATTAAATTTGTCAAGTTTTCTCCTGAATCGGCTACAATTTGATCCATGAGTGGCCCTGCTGGCACCACCTGGCTTGACAAAACTTGATTGTTGGCCAAACAGTGACTGAAGCCAATTAGCTGCATTCAGTGTTCGGGTATTCTGACAGTGGTGGTTACAATAGCTGGCAGGGGAAAATCATCCATCCACACTGTCTAGCATGGATGGGGGAATCAAGTGATTTCTAATTGTATAAAGTTATTAAATTGAAACCTAACTGGGTATGGCCAGCTTTAGATGCTGGTTCAGAAATAATGCAATCATGTAAATCCTGGTGCCTGTGCAGTTCTTGACTATGTTCACATATGTCTGACACAAATCACCTCTCTGCTGCAGCTTGTCATCTTGTGACAAAGGACACTGCGGAAATGTTTACTTGCAATTACTGGAGGAGGGGGGAACTGAGGAAATGCTTTCTTCTGCCTGCAGCAGACTGATGTAATCGTAGCCTGGGCAAAGTAGCTTGACTATAGCTCAGTAGCTACTCTTTACTGATTAAAGGTAGAGTGTCATTAAAAATGATAGTGTTGCTGTATATTTTGACATGTCATGAATTTAATACAGTAGTGCATGGAGCAAAACAGTAACCAATCTTTCTGGATGACTGTGATTGGTGACGATTACTGCACTGTGTGCACCACACAGTATCTTAACAAGTCAGGGTAACATTATTGTTTTGCTAACACATTCTGTTTTTAAGGAAGCACCTTACAATGATTGGGCATTTTTAACACAACCATGAAACAAGTCATGCAAGATTCTGTGGTATTATGAATTCTTAAACAGACAAATAAGTTTACAAAAGGTCTTCATTCTTTTTCAAAATTCAATTGTTTCCACTAACAGAAACACTCACATATTAAAAAAAAATACCAATGTAAGAGGCACCTACCATTATGAGAGTCAAAGCATATTATTAAAAGTGAATACTGACATAATGACAGATGGTTTACATATACTTCGACCAAGAAATATTTCAAATACAAAAGCATTGCCACATATCTACAAATAGATATAAAAAGTAACTGTACAAACATAGTGGTTCATATACAAATGGTTACACAATAGTTAAGTTCTGATACTGAGTAAAAGCATTCACGTCACCATACACATTCCTTATTAAATGCACCTAAAAGAAACAATGTTCCCCTTTATTAGAGGGCTCTGTGTTTCAAGTCTGTCCAGCAGAAAGGAGGTATCCAGATGTCATCACCACATCTGTGTCCGCAATAATACTTGTAGAAGGATAACGTGGCAAGGACTGGGAATCCCATAGCTTCGCAACTTCTTGGTAGTGTTTTACTTCCCTAACAAAATGAATACAGTTTTCATAAATTATATATCACTAAGAACATTCATTCAAAGTCCACAGGCTTTCGCCACAAAGCTAGTGTTCACACTTCATAGTACCCAGATGTAAGTATATTCCAACAGTCAGAGGATGGCCGGTTTTAGCAGTATCTACAACACTGCATTCATTCCAATACATCCCATAAGTGCAGCTGCTTGGTGAAAGTGTTGATAGTAAATATACAATGATCTCAGCTTGTTTTGGGCCTTAAAATCCATTCTGCACTGGGGTTTACATGATATACATCCAGCATATAAGTATCTGGGTCCAAGCAGTGTTCTCCTGCAATGACAAGTAATGGGTGATAGAATCAGCAAAAGACAAAACTATATTTATTTGCAAGCAGTCTAAGTACCGGAATGTAGCAATGCATTCCTATGGCAAAATTCTTTTTTTTGATGGCAGCAGAACCACCGGCCAATAGAAAACAGTTGGGCGGAGCTAGCTGTCATTGCTAGCTCCGCACAATCGTTTTCTATTTTTTTTCTACTTTTTTAACTATTTTTCTGTTCTGCTCGGTCCCACAGAGGGATTCGGCTATTTACTCACTGCTGTTCGGCATCTATAAGAAAAGACCGAACAGCAGCGAGTAGCCTGCCGGAGGTTCATGTTAGCCGATCCAAATGTTGGATCGGCTAAGTCGAACTCCTTCTACACTTCGGGTCAGCCGAACATGCTGAGCATGTTCAGCCGACCCGAAGCCACACGAAGCCAGCCGATGTACAGCTGATTTCAGCCGATATACGGCTGATATCAGCCGTACAAACCTGAAGTGAATAGCCGAACAGCGCTCGGCTCACTTCCCTTCAGGTCGGTCTTTCACTCGGCTGCCTACGGCAGAAAAAAGGGGATGCAGAAAAAAGAGATTTAGGACTCTCAATCTCTTTATCTATTTTAAAAGGGAAATATAAGGGGTCTGTTTAGACCCCCAATATTTCCCCCGAAGCCCCTAAAAGCAAATTATAACATAAAATGTTTAATAAAAATAAATAAATAAAAATATATATTTTTTTTAAATTTAAAAATGTATAAAAAATAAAATAAGTAAAATAAATGGAAAAAGTTAGAAAAAAAAACATTTTCGGTTTTGGCCCAACATTTTTGGGAGGCACAGGGAGTGTCAAATGTTCCCTCATATGTGGGAGCACTATTGTCATCAAAAAGCATTTGCTCCACAAAAATATTAGTATCAAGATTCTGGTGCCAAAAATCCCCTATTATCATTAAAAAAAAAACATTAGTCCGCACAGCTAAGTGCTATTGGAAGAAATATTTTAAAAACATCTATGTTACTTCAGGGATTTTAGTGTGTGTCTAATGGTGGAATAGTTCATATTGGCCATACAGTGGAATGGTGATCATAGATAGTTTTTATTCATTTATGTAAAACTTTTATCCCAAAAGGAAAAAAAACAACTTTTGCTATAACTGCGTAAAAGTATTAGCTGGAGTTAGGATTTAATTTGTTAGTCAAGCCCATCTAAATCTGCTAGTGCATCTAATACTACCCTCTCCTTAGGCTGACAATTCTGCTGTACAAGGGTGGCACCATTGCTCCTCCAGAGTATGGGGCCATCCTAAGACAGGAAGTGTGTTACTGACTAGACAACCAAATTAAAAAAAGGGAAATACACCTAAAAAAAAAAAGAAGACTAATGCAGCCACTACATCTAAGGATTTAGCTGCAATATACTAAATTATTATTTTTGTTGTAAGCAAGCTTATAATATAAAATAGTACAAAACATTACTGTGAAAATCAACGATAAGAACACTTGTAGGCATATTCCTGTCAAACCTGAACATTTAGAATAGAAGTACCACACAATAGAATAGAAGTAACACTACTGCCCTGCCTCAGGCATTTCTGTTTTATTCTGGCAGTGCTTCAGTAAACCAAGCCACTTCCCTGTGTAATATCCTCTGGCAGAGCTCTGGAAACACCTAATGCCAACCCTGTCACTCCCTGTGCCAATATTTCCCAATACGAAATATCAAAGTGTCTATGCAGTCTTTCTGTTTACAGAATGTATTCGTACCCCTGCTCCATCCCCGCAAATAGAAACATTCTATTCAGAAGAATTAGGTATTTGGGCAATAAGAGGTACAAATCTATAGTACCTTCCCGAGGCCTGCTGAGAACTCGGTTCAAGGTTTCAGTGGAACATGTTATTCAATTTCCAATTAAAGCAAATGGAGTGGCAATATTTCTGGGTAACTTACGTGGCTTGCTGATTTTTTTTCATTATTACCTGGTGTATGTCTGTAAAGTGAAATCTCAGATAAAAATTGGGGCTGCCATTTCTAAACACCTACTGCAAATACTAGTTCCATGGCTTTTGCACTGACTGCCTAGAAGTATGCAGATAATGAATAAACTTGATGTATGCTTGTTTTCTGACCTACAAATTATTGAAGCCTAAATAAGCCAAGAAAGGAACATTTTCAGATAGCCATAGCAGCCTTTGTGTTTTTCTCAATACGGGTTCAATTTAAGATGTGTGGAAATTGCAGAACACGTAGACATAAGTTGTAATAATAACTAGTCATTTAAAGAATAATTCATCATCTCAGTGTTGTAGATGTGCCGGTCCCTGGAAAATCAATGCTCACTTTGCTTTGTTTGAATAAGGTCCAAGAGTCTGGACACTGCTATTATTAAACAAAAACAGGAAAAAAAGCATCGGTAGGAAAAATATTTCAAAAGAATGGGACATGAAGACACTTGCTGTTGATCACTATATAATATTAAAGTGACACTAAACTCAGGAGTTAAACCTTAAAAATGCATTCAAGTACCTTAACTATTAACAAAAATATAGCTTGTTTGTGCATCACTCAGCTGTAGATCCTCATATCATCTCCGTATTTGTGCTGACACTGTCCTTCCTTCTGGAGGGTGGGTACTTTTGTTCTCCATGATCCTTGTGTGAATTGTAAAATAATTACTGTTTCAAGCTCGCTCCCATAATAGATTTAAGTCCATCTTGGTTGTGAGCTTGGCATGCCTGCTACATTACAACATGCACAGGGACCATGGGAAACAAAAGTAGCTACCCTCCAGAAGGAAGGACAGTGTCAACATGAATTCAGAGATGATCCACAGCCAAGTGATGCACAAATAAGCTACATTGTTGTTAGTAGTTGAGGTACTTGAATACATTTTTAAGGTTTAACTCCTGAGTTCAGTACCAATTTAATGCTGTTCAAGCCTTTAGCCACATGCTTCATTTTTTCAGAAACAAAATCCACTGCTGGAAATTACACATCCAGACTCTTCTTTCTGTATTAAACATCAACCTAAATTTTGTAAAATGAAAAGCCCGGCTTAGAGGCTTAGACATTGACAACCTCATATATCAGGACATCACCTCTACAGATTGGTCTTCTTTGTGCTCATTTAATTCAGTTATAGTTCAGCCAATCAAAGGCACTGGTACTGGTTTCATATTTTGCTAGGTAACATTCAATTTAATTCGTTGGTCAAATATACAGTATATTCCAATTTTAATTCCAATTTTATTTCTAAATATTCAATTTTATTTAATAGGTTAACATTATCACTTAAGAAAAGTTTTGTACAGGGATATCAGCTTATAATGAAACATACATGAATACAATACACACTCACTTGTGACTCAAAATTGTTAAAAAAAGGTACCACTATCAATCCACATTTCCTCAGTTTAATTCAAAGGTAAGCAATCCTTCTACAGCACTGACGTGTGATTACTTTAGGGCTTTTAGCAAATAGTTTATTGCATCACAATGTAAAAAATTGTGCCATTTGTAGGAACAGTGTAAAATGATATAGCTGTTACTACCAATGACAAATATATATATAGAACATAACGCTTGGTTCACACAGCATCCTCCAAGGTATTAATACCTTTTAACTGGACAGGTATCACACACAAAATTCTAAAACAAATCCTTAAATAGGTATTTTTTGAGTGGGAACCCAAGTAAAGCAAATTATACATGAATGTATCTGTGTCCCTTTGGAACATGGCAGAGCTACTCAGAGCCTTTTCTACACCTGCCCGCTCTGAGCAATGGGAGTACCTGTAGATTCTTTTATCACTTTTATGAAGAATTTAACTGTTCAGTCATTGAGGGCAAGCACTGAAAGTGATTAGAGTGCGATTTCAGGCAACAAGTTATCTAATCAGTAAACCACTAATGCTACGCAACAAATACTGCACCTGTGCTTAAATCAAACAGTTCACTCTATCTGCCCTAACCTGAACTCTCCATAATCCCATACAGCAACATGTTGAAGACCACCAGAATGGGCCTCTTGTAGTCTACGTCCTAAAGGTATGTGTTGTGTAACTTTCTCTCTCTGATTTCTGCATCACAAGTCATATTTCTTCTTCCAAAACAAGAATAGAAGAATTTACTCCAATTGCTTGAATCTTCTTAGAACTAACATTTTTACATCAGGCTTGCTATGTGTGAGAGGCAGCAGGAAAACTGCAGTAGGAGTGTTTGAAAATTCTTCTACTGCATCATAGGCAGGGGTTCTCAGATTGCCAAACTGCCAACCAAAGACATTTGAGTGAAATTGTGTTCTGTAGCAATGCCCAGTGGTGTAATTTGGCTTTGTGCTGCCCTAGGCAAGACTAAACTCGGGCACCCCCTCAATCTAAATTTGCCCCACCCCATCCTGTTTAGGACATTTTGCGCAACCTGTTAGTCGCAGGATACACCGCACACGGGATCTCAGGAGAGCTTTGCATGGTCTCAGGTGGGCTGTATCGGGTCTCAGGAGAGCTGTGCAGGGTTTATGGTGGACTGTGTGGGGTCTCAGGAGGACTATGCAGAGTCCCTTTCCCAGCATAGGTGTGCTGCTCCTCTTACCTGCAGCCTAAAGTGCCATCAGTACCAACAGGATACATTGCAGTCCCCCAGCCTGCTTCTGGGACATCAGATCAGCAGATTACATGCTATGGCCAGCCCCGAGCCACCTGCTGCTTCTCCTCCACCTCCTGTACAAAGCCAGCCGGACTGCATGTCATTGGGCCCTCCCCTCCACTGGGCAGCTGTCTAATTAGGCAGCCACTCTTAGGGCCTTGCGGCTGCCTAGTTTGACTGATTAGGCAGCCGCTGCTGCCTGATTATGTGCCGCCCTGCCTTGGCCCACCGGGCAAGTGCCCAGTATGCCCAAAGGCACGTCCAGCCCTGTCCACCTCATTGGTTTGGGGTGCCGTTTTCTGCCGCCCCCCTGGAAAGTGCCGCCCTAGGCAAATGCCTAGTTTGCCTTGTGGTAGATACACCCCTGGCAATGCCTTGATGGAAAACTAAAAGGCTGAGCAGGAGACTGTGGTAGCTGGGTACTATTCAAGGGTTCATTTTCCATTTAAAGAGATACAAAATTTTAAAAAGAAATGCTACCCCCTTTCTCATTTAAAATAGAAAAGAACTGCAGATGTGTAACTGTACCTTTACTCTGGTTCACTTCTAGGAATGAGGGGGTCATTCTATGCTTGTGTGGGTTTCCTCTGGGTACTCTGGTTTCCTCCCACACTCCAAACACATGCTGATAGGTTAATTGGTTCATGTCTAAATTGTCCCTAGTATGTATGCATGTGAGATAGGGACCTTAGATTGTAAGCTCCTTGAGGGCAGGGACTAATGTGAATGTGCACTGTGTAAAGTGCTGCATAAATTGTCAACGCTATATAAACACCAATAATCAATAATATGTACATAAACAGGTCCTCCATATTCTGATATATTTTGGACATGTACCCTGTTTGACTACAATTCAGATGGCACAACATCCATTTAATTCTGACAGTTTATATCAATACTTTGCTTTTCCCTGACTCCAAGCCAGGTGGAGAGTGTGGGTGCCTGTCTAAATCCTTGAAAAAAAACCCATATAAACTATCCAGTTCCTGTATGTGATCTGTGCCGTGTTTTACGTAATATCTTTCCATTCTTAGGGGACATAGTTTCCCTGTTTATGGTAATTCTCTGCAATTTAAAACTTGATGATGAGTTTAACTGCTCTCACGCATTTGTTAAATAAAGCTTTATCTACCATAGCAAGACGTTTTGGTTCCTAAATGAGGAAATATTAATTCTGGATACAATTATGGCCTGTAGTTTTTAACAGCCACTGCAGAAGTGGTATTATTTTATATTTTACAGATAGGATCACTTCAGCTCAGCATATTAGTCTGGCACACAAATGTAAATGTAAATATTACTTCTTTTTTTCAGAGTTCCCTTATGTTCAATTAACAGTTTGATTATGTTAATCAATCAGTTGCATCATTTAAGGTGGTACAGGAAACAATGAGATGATGTATGCAAAAACAGAAATTCATTAGCTGCAATACTGTACTATTAAAAGGTAATATTGAGCTTATAGATATTCTTAGACACAGATATTGTTTTTTTAGGATTTGTACTTACATAACTAGGAAGATTAGATTTCATATAATTTTTAATTTTGCAGTTTCAGAAAAGCTTAGGAGCTTACCTATGTTTCCCCCTGTTTCATATAAACTTTGGTTGTGCGATTTGTCGGCTGTTCCATGACTGCAAATGCAAAAGAAATAGATTTAGAATAGAATCAGTTTGATGGAGAAATGTCTTTGTTGCTTTATTCTGCACTAAATAACAGCGACTTATTGTCTAAAATATCTTGTAACCAGCTGCTGTTCTGTCTTCTTTAAGCTGTATTCTCCAGTGGGCACTGCTAATTAGTTCCAGCATTCTAACCAAATGTTCTGCTGAAAAATTGTTTGGGTATTTCGTATTACGATCATGGATTTGCCCTTCAACAAAGAGCTTCGATAAATGAACAAAATGGGAAACGCAGGTGTTAATGTTAATATTGTGACAGGAAATGTGGGCATATAAAAAAAAGGGTCTCTAAAGGGAAGACACTTCAATGTGGACGGCACCAACAGAAGCATGGTGTGTGATTGATAGGCTTTCATACAGTCAGATATAAAAGACGTTCGACCTTTGATACAGCAGCACAGCAGAAAGGCAGACTATCATTCAATGAGAAATTATACTCTGCTAGCACCGTGCACTAAGCATATTTAATAAAGCAATTACAATACATTCGTATTTATTATTCAATTTGAATATAGCATTAATCATTTAAGATGCTGACAACAAATTTAGCTATTGTTGTGGAAGAGGATACATATTAATGCTAATATAAAAATATTATTATAAGCAATAATTGTCTGTGGGGCTCTCCTTTCAGCCCCACATCCAATCACTATCGAAATCTTGCCGAATCAACCTCCATAACATTTCTAAAATGTGCACCTTTTTAACAAACGAAACCACAAAGTTTCTAATTCACTCCCTTGTAATATCTCGCTTTGGCTACTGTAACTCCCTCCTCTTTGGCCTACCACTAAAGAGGCTACCTCCCCCGCCCCCCCTTCAGTTTATCATGAATGATGCTGCCGGTCTCACCCACCTTATCAACTGTTCAGTCTCTGCCTCCCCTCTCTGCCAATTCCTCCACTGGCTCCCAATTGCCCAATGAATAAAATTCAAAATACTAACGACATGCAAATCCATCCACAACTCCGCCCCCGACTACATCTCCAATCTCATCTTAAAATATCACCCCAATCTGTCCACTTAACTCCTACGCTGTCCACCTTTAGGCGATTCCTAAAAACTCATCTCTTCAGGGAAGCCTATTCCAGCTCCACATAATTGCCCTTTTACTTCTTCCACTAACTCAATCTAAACAATTATTACCTTTTGTATCACTTGCCCCTCCTACTATATTGTAAACTCCCACAAGCAGGGCCCCCCTAACCCTTTTGTACTGTACTGTATTGTAGCTGTACTGTCTCCCCCATTTTGTAAAGCGCTGCACATACTGTTGGTGCTATATAAATTCTGTATAATAATAATAATACTTATGTATCATACATTCTATAGGGATACAACTGGGGGAGTCAGTACTCAAGAAGGACTTAAAATGTATAGGTTTCAGACAGAGAGAGAGATTGTTTATCCAGGGAATATCAGATTGCCTTACAGAATTAGTTTGGATTTCCCCCCCTCCAATTGGAGCACATTGGACCGTGCTATATAAGGGGGTTTTTTTTTGCCTTCCTCTGGATCCACTGCGGGTTTTGGGTTCTGTATATACATATTTATTTTTCTATTGGTTCAACGCAATGGGCTATTTTGAACTTGACTAACGATGTAACCATATAACTTTAGCAGGCTGCCCCAAGAAATATGTTTTTTTTCCAGCCCACCACTGCCCATATTCCACTGATATAGATCTGTTGGATAGGCTTACATTTTAAAATTAAAACTAGTGCTTATAAGTGATTACAAGTGTCACTTGTAATTGATAGTATAAGATACAAAAAACCAAGATGTCATAAAAAGCATGTAATATATAAAAATAGCTTCAACAAAACTACTAAATTTTAAATAGATCTCTAATAAATGGAATGAAAAACAAGAAATGATCATCTCTTTACACCTGTTTTCACACTGAAAGCGTGCCAGGATGTCTTTGGCTTTTGTCCGACTGTTCAGCTGAATTGCCATGGAAACCTTTGAGTGCAGTGGAGCGTAAACTCTTATCACTCCTTCAGGTACATCACAGTGCTGAAATATAAAAGCAAAATAGAGCTCTAATAAACATGACACAGGCAGCCATTGTTTTCACAGGCTTATCGATGATGATAGACAAAACACAAATTGACCTCAACAGAAGAGCATTCTAAAAGTCTAAAAATAGTCATATTCACCGAAGAGTACACCAGGATTAACAACACTTCCCAAAAGTGTTCATTTATTGTAGTTTTAGTTACAAGGACCCTGCATTCAAAATGGTGACAGAACATGGGAGGAAAAATGAGTTGCAAGGGAAATAAATTAGATTTCAGAGAATAGGAATACCATACAATGTAAATGTTTTCCGACTGAACTGATACCATGCCAGTTACACAGATTGTCTCACCTCTTGACTTCCATTACATCTACTGTATGTTCTATTCGAGTCATGCCATGGTTTAGATATACTTTTTTAAGATCAGGTTTTTCCAGTGTAAATATTTCTCCTGTACATTCCCTTTCAAATAATCTTTTCTTTCTATACAGCTTGAACTATCATAGGATCACATCACTAAGGAACCTATATACAAAGCAGTGCAATGGCCTTACCAAGGACAAACTGCTGCTTAAAATAAAAACACAAAATGCACATTTATAAAGCATAGCACTGTGTGCTTTATAAATGTGAATTGTCTCATGCTTGTTTTGGGGCTCTGAAGCAAATGGAGTTCCACTAATAACAATGAAACAAAAAAACAAAAGTGTCAGGAGGAGGTCTTGTCACGTGATCTATCAAAATCATGTGACCATCCTCTCCTACAATCACAGAGTTCTCTTTTCAGTGTTAAGCTAAAAGAATTCCATGAGAAACCCAGGCTCCCCACTGTGGGCTGCATTTGATAATTAAGATGTAAAAAGCATGCCAAAGTGTGGTATAACACTGTGGTAACTGCACTCTACCATAAATAGTGTGCAAAATATATGCACACTAGTAGGGATGAGTTCAGGTTCGGACTGGGTTCAGACTAGCTTTCGGTCCAAACCTGAGCTCCTCTGAACACAGAAGAGACATTGTGCCACCCGCCCAATCAGCTATGGACCAGGGCATTTCCTGCCCCAGATCTGCACATAAACAAAAGGATGGGATGCTTGTGATGACATGACCAAATATAGCCATGTGGCTATATAAGGTCAATGACCTCACAGTACTCCACACTTTGCTTAGGTGCAGCTGTGTAAAGGGAATTCCCAGCTGCAGCCAATTGGGTGGCTGTGAAAGGAGCTTCCTTCCAGGTTCAGACTGAATCCAGTCTGAACCTGAGCTCATCCCTACACACTAGTAACTGCTCTGACTTTGAATATCTTATAAAAGAACCCCTGCCCGTGTCCTGACTGTGTAGGTTCTCCCTCTCTGCTAAATAGACAGTACAAGACCTGAATGAAAAAATTCTCTATAGTTAGAGGAGTTCCCACAGTTGAGAACAGGTGTCCCAATTTGGAGACTTGCCATTGCTTTATCTGATATAACAGTGGGATTTCCCCTCATTTTCTGCACTCTCTGGTCTCTGCTACAGGAAATAAGGATGGATCAACAAAGATATAGCACTAAAATCTTAACAAGTGATTTAACCCTTCTCTATTCTATTAAAAAACATTAAAAACTTTGACTGGATTGGCACCTAAATTGATTTATGACAAATATGTAAACAAATACCGTACAAAAAATAAAAAATGGTAACAAAAAAACTTCCACTATACAACTTTTTGCTCACCTATGACCACGAAAAAGTATACATTTTTAAAGGAGAGCTATGGGGTTAAGGCTTTTCCCCATAGTTCTCCTTAGGGTAACGGGAGGACACAAACTAGTGTCCTCCCGTCACCCTAGGCTCAGTATACCACGAGCTGTAGCTCGCGGTATACTGAGACGCCGCAGTATACCGCTAGCTGCTGCTCGCTGTATACTAAGGCCCCATTCACATGTAGCGACATACCTTTGCAGCGGCCGGGATAGCGCGACTTTCGGGGCGACGTTCCAGCGATGATCCAGCAACGGTAGCGCGACCTTCTCCGTCGGGCTCCATAGAAAAAAAGCAAAATCCGCCGAGAAAAGGGTCCGGTAGAAGTGACTTGCGACCCCGACGAGCGATGCGCGACATGGAGCTAAGACAGCTCCATTGACTATCATTAGCCGGCGACTTCTTGCGATATCGCGCGGCAAAAATGCGCGATATCGCGCCGGAAATCGCGCGATAAGTCGCTACATGTGAACGGGGCTTAAGACGCCGCAGCTGAAGCAGATCCCGACAATTATGTCTGGATCCGCCCAGCTGCGTGACTGACAGCTGGCTCTGCCTCCCCTGTCCATTCCGCCAGTCAGCGCTGGCAGATAGGAGCGGGGAGGGGTGAATCCAGCTCCTCCCCTGTCACGGCAGAGAGCAGTGACAGGATCGAGAGTGTTCGCTCACCTCCCGATCTACTGAGCCGACCTGTGACAGTCTCATTGTCACAGGTCGGCTAGAACTATGAGGTGAGTGGAAATCACTCATCTCATAGTTCTCCTTTAAGGGTTTCAGAACTTCATTATGAGCCTTGATATACACGTAGTATATCTAAAGGAAGGTGCTTAACAAATTGCAGTGCAGTTACAGTAGTCAGTAAATAAGGATCATAAAAATATACCTCTCTCCTTTCAGGTCTCTCACGCTCCATGGTCTTCCTCCTTAGAAGCTTTCTTACACTCTTATCAAATATCAGCTGCTTTTTGTTATTGTTCAAAGCAGCTTCGTTCATTTTCCGCACTTGTGAAATCAGAAAGGCTGGAACCTGAATTAAAACAGTTTATTATGTTTTTTAACCTTATTTTGCATGTTTTTGTTTTTTTAAATCACCTTGCAGGATTGTTTCTTCTGCAAATGCTAGTAGACAAATGAATGGATGAATCTTAACTACTACTATTGGAAGTCTATAACTCTGCTGCAGTTCCCCATCAGGTCCATCAGCAGAGGGACGCTGATCTCTCTGAAAGTGGCCCGAAGCCACACGAAGCAAGCCGATGAACGGCTGATTTCAGCCGATGTACAGTGTTCGGCTCACTTCACTTCAGATCGGCCATTCACTCGGCTGCCCTCAGCAGCTTCGTGAATAGACCCCTAAGTATTCCTAATGAAGAATAAAGGAAGGTAACTGTGAAAATAACTCATGATGTCATACTACATTAATTCCAATCCCGATCATGGCCGAGCGGCTCATGTTCGGCTCACTTCACTTCAAATCGGTCATTCACTCGGCTGCCCTCGGCAGCTTGGCGAATAGACCCCATAGTGTTATCTTCCTATAAGTAAGTATGGCACATGCTATTTATGGTTATTTAGAGTCTCCAAACTACTTTTTTAATCACTGAGTTGTGCTCTGTGAACATATGTGGTGCTGCGTTAATTCTTTCAGATTCATTTTAGACATAGTATAACTCACAAAATGTAATATTTATGATAGTAATCCACAATGATCATGAAATTGGTTTAACTGTTATTTGTCATTGGTATCTAATCTTACCCATAATGCAAAGGAAATAACTCAGGTTTGGAAAAACAACTTCCACTGTTACAACACCTTGCCAATTCTACACTTGTTGCTACACCAATGAGTTAAAAAAAAATAATCTACACCAATGAGTTAAATTTTATTTTCATCTGATAAAAAAAAAAAGAGATTATTGAAATGTTTTCTCACCGTCCATAAAATATCCTGGTACCTAATTAAAAGGCGAACAATGTGTGCAGCAGAAGCAGCTGACTTCATTTCTTCCTGTTTGGCGCCTTTCCCTTTGTAAATAAATATGTTTGGAGCAAGAATCATAGAAACATTCCATAGGCTCATTTTATTCTTCTCTTCATTTGACACAACCTTTTTTAGGAAATGTAGCAATGCCTAAAAAAACAAAGGCAATATGTACTAAAAATATGTAAAACTGTATTTTTCAGAGGGTAACTGCAGTGCTGACAGGGTCATATTTTGCACAATCTTTACTGAGTTTTCAAAAATACTAATATTGCAGTGTGTTAGTTGTAAAAAAGGTTAATGTTTACAAAACCAATATGCTTTTTTTATAGCATATATTGAGACATAAATACCAGTATAGGAAATGAATACATACATACTAAAAAAAAAAGATCAGCCCCCAGGGCTCATTACTTATATATTATAATAAAGATCTCAAATAGCCATATTTTAGAAATTCTTTTTTTTTTTTTTACAAATTAGGCCCCAGTCAAAAAGAGAGAAAAAGTATGCTTTTCTCCTCCTAGAATTTCCAGTGCACAATCCTGTTCTACAATAGGTCATTTAAAGTTGCCTGCAACACTGTGTATGATATGCACAATGATCAGTTAAACAGATTGCCTGTAGTGATCTACCTATACGTTATACACTCACTGTTGATATTCCTGTGTGGAGGCATTCTCAAGCAGTAAAGATCAACACTGTCAAAAACATGTATCTATGGGTAATCCCTTTGCAAAAGGTGCAGTGATTTTGTGCACTGAATCTGGTTATAGGCATATTATTATTATACAGAATTTATATAGCGGCAACAGGTAGTGCAGCGCTTTACAATTAAGGAAGACATTACAATCACAATACAATTCAAGACAAGATGGTAAGGAAGGCCCTGCCAGGGAGGGGCAAGTGATACATGAGGAGTATTTAGGGATCGCCTAAAGGCAGTCATGGTCTGCTCAGAGAACTAATGGTCTAGGCATTCCTTATGCATCAGTGCTGTTTTATGGTAACCAGCAGCTTGATGGTGTTGCCTTGCCTGATTTGTTACAGAGAGATTACTTCAGGAAAGGTAGACAAAACTATGTAGGTGGTAGGAAATCCAGGTCCTGGTCTGGCGCTGGAGCAGAAGAGGCAGTAAAAGAGCTGGTGAGAGGGGGGAGTGGTGAGATGCTGTGGGTCAGCGGTGTCAGGAATTTCCATCGCTCGATGCCTGGGACATACAGTTCTGGGCACGGGGCAGGTGTTTTTTTTCTACATTTAGCCCTGCTGCGGAATAAATGTAGAGCAGGGCAGCCATTTTGTACAAGTGATCTGGGGGAGTTTACCGATCACTTGCATGCAGCCTGTTTGCCCCCCTCCCTCCGTGGTCCATTCCCATGCTGCCCCCCCATCCCCACCGTGGTTTTTTGGGTCCCCTGCTCCTGATGGCAAATAAGTTCATGGTGGAAAGCGGGGAGCAGAGCGGAGAAGATCTGTTCTCTAGTCTGCTCCATTTGAACAGTGGGACAGGATTGATGTACTCGCAGCATATGTGATAGCGGTGAAAAACATGGCAAAGAGTCAATGTTATCTAGCCAGTATCTTCTCTTGTAAAAGTAAACTGCAATACATATTCGAGACATAACACACAACCTAAACACTGTCAGCAACAGAGAATGGATGAAATACCATGAGTATTAGGTTAGGATCAATTACACAGTCCAACATTCAAGAACTTCTGAAAATGGCAAAAACATACCTTGAAGAAATAATGGGAACTACTTTATCCTCTGTACATAATATTCATCACATTGCCATCATCACCCTAATTAGGCTAATAGCTAGGAAAGGGAATAACATTTTATATGAAAGACTTTATTAAACCAAAAGGCATCTGTATGCAGTGCTTACTCTGGTTGCAGAACTTCCCTGATTTATTGTTGAAGGCTGCCAAGTGAAAATGCTGGATTTTCTTTATGTGAGAAACAATACATATATTTAAAATAAGCTTGTCAAATAATTGCAAGGGAAGTCACATTTTACTTCGGAAAGGAAATGCATCCAAATATCTAGTGATTCTGTTTCTAATTTCATTTACCTTGGCAGTATCTCTGTTGGCATCTGGCAGGAGCATGATTAATAGATGAAGAGCTTGTAGCTGCAATTTGATCTTGGAGATTTCTAAAGAAATGAAAATAACTCAAATAAGGATTCTTATATGAAAGTTGGCAATATGATTAGTTGCCGAGAGAAGGCTTGCTTTGTTCTCATGAGAATTTGTTTTTATAAAATATTGCGGAGCTGAAAGATTACCCTGCCATAACTCTGTCTTGGGCATCACTCAATGATATAAATTACTCATTATACCTAAAAAGATATAGGAAGAATACACAAAATATTTATTTAATCGATCTATAAAGATTTGTATTGTGTCCCTGGGGCTACAGAATCTGTGGCCACAGTGGCATAGAAAGCTATCAAAACTATTTTCATAAAATGCAACTGCCCTGACATTTAAGGCAATCTGGCACCTAAAGAAGTGTAGGCAATGGTTCTGCTCGCTACATCTCTAGGAAACAAAAAGAACACAGAAGCATCCGGTGTTTTAATACTGTATAGACGGCATTCTCCTAAACACTGGATCATAAGTGCTTAAATTTATCATCAGGTCTCAACAGGATGGCATGTTTTGTAGGTTTTCTCTCAAGAGCATTGGCGGAGTGACCTCTGGCTAAACTTAAGTAGAAAGGTTTCTGTGAATTCTTGTGAAGAGATTCACAAGGCAAGCAGTGTTGATGAGGTCTGACCATAGGTTTCACAACATCTGGTTTAGACAATACATTAAAACTTAACTCCTCCTTTCTGATAAATTGAACTTATAGACCAAAGCAGTGATAAATATAGCTATTGTATATTAGTAAGGTTTATTTACTAAAGACAAATAGGCTGTTCACTTTGCAAGGACATTTGCACTTTGCAAATAATTTTTCCTTTAGTTTAGTGAATAAGGTAAAGCTCTGCTGACTTCCATCATCCAGTCATGTTTCCTTGATTGGGTATTCTTTGCAAAGTGAATTTTCATCACATTCACTAAGCTAAGGGAAAATTTCCCTGCAAAGTGCAAATTCCCTTGCAAAGTGAACAGCCTATTTACTTTTAGTAAATAACCCCCATTATGTCAGTATATTATTTTAAAGAGTCTGGGGGGAAATGTTCACCTTTTGATCACCCTTTAACCGCCTTGTGGGATCTGAGCTGGCGTATTTAAACGTCTCGTCAGCCACGTCCACGACTTAAAAAAACACATTTTTTGAATTTTTGTCCCCAACCATACATACACGAATGCAAACATACGTTGGGTGCGCATACATACGAAAACAAAGATTGCGCCCATCACGCCGCAAATGTTACATATCACCGCAAACAGCGCAGTGAGAGCAATAATTATACGGCCATCAATCACTGATAACACTAAACTAAAGAGAAGAAAAAGCTTTTAAAGCGTCGCCTATGGCCAATTTTGGGTATGGTAGTTTTTTGCGATTTCGTGGGTGCGTGCAATTTTAAAGCTTGACATGTTTACCCGACGTGACCCCGTCTTTTATATTTTACCAAAAAATTGGGTAATGATAATTGTATTATAACATAAAGTAAGAAAAAACTTTTTGTTTTCAAAATTTTCAGTAATCTTTCCTTAATATAGTAAAAAATTAAAACCCCAGTGGTGATTAAATACCACCAAAGGAAAAGCTCTATCTGTCCCCCCAAAAAATTGTATAAAATTAATTTCAGTACAGCGTTGCATGACGTAATAAATGTCGGTGGAAGTACCGCAGCGATGAATACTGAAAAATGGCCTGGCCAGGAAGGGGGTGTAAACACCTGGTTTTCAAGTGGTTAAATAAGTCCTCAGCTGTCTACAATTGATTCAACATGCAAAAGGGGACGATCCTAGTGTAACATGGGGGAAGAGACTGTATATGTTTGTTCAGACCTGCTCGACTATGACACAATGTTAAACAGTATTAACAACATATAAGTTTTGCTTTTTCCTTTATTTTTCCAGTATGGCATGTTAGATGCATGGGGCCACTATAAACAATTGGGGACAACCATCCAATCACGTGCAGGGAAATTGAAAAGTAGGACCTTCTCCTGCATTTAATCACGTTTGAAGCAAAATTCACCTTACCTCACTGCAATTTAGTCAAACACCTATGGATTGCTGTTTTTTTATCTCTATTTTAGTTATGACACGTGGCCAATTTAGGAAAGAAGTAGTTAATAAAGCTTTTTATTAAAGAGGCCCCCTAGAGTATTAGGAAAACTACATAATAGTGTTAACAAATTAATGAAATGCCATTGTTTTCACTCTTTTTAAATCTGCAACTTTCATAAAATAATATCTTGCATTTATACCATAAAGGTCTGTGTTCATCCACTTTCTGTTATAAGTTGACAGCTGTCTCTCAATTTATACTCCTGCATTGTCATCCTGATACATGCATCTCTGATGAAGAAAACAAGTGGCCGTGCCAACAGTGAGCAAGCACAGTCCACCATTGTCACTATCAGGGAGTTGGTCCAGAGCAATGATGCTGCTAATGCTGGAGTGAGTGCATTTAGATAGAAAGTGACTGAAAGCAGCTGGAGGAGATCAACATTACTGAGATACAAAAAAAGGATTAAAAATAAGCATTTTATGAAAAGAATGGCAATTGTTTATTATCACAATGCTTCAGAAAACCAAATGCCATCTAGTTACGGTTTACATCTACTTAAGGGTTAACTAATGCTAACACAATCAAGATGTTTTCCAGAATTTACAAAAACAAAAAAAATATATCTTTCAATTAAAAGGGATTTTATTACTTTAAATGTATAAACATAAGAATCCAAATTCCACTGATATTCAGTTGACTGCATACTGCTGTTTGCATATGATTTATTATAACTTTCTGCGTGACTGAAAAGCAAGCGCTGTTGATGATAAAATAATGAAAGATTGTTAACACTTTAGATATACAATATGTCTTGCTTGCTTTTTTTGTTTAGCCAAATCCATTAAAATACACTTTATGAGATGGGGCTGTTTATTTTTAGCAGGAAATAATGTGCACCTAGCTAAAAGTCTTTTATCAAATTTAATTGATTAAAATATTGTATATGTAACCTACACATTTTGTAAAACATCATTAGTATATTTAAATGATTTCCAGTAGCCCCCTGGCTGTGTTCTGTGCTGAAAAGTGTCCGGCAATAATGGTATTTATTTCTGACTCCATACAGGAACACACGGAGCGTTACAGCCTAGAATTAATTTACAAAGGTCACAGAAGCTGACAAATGGCAAGTCTTGTGTTTAAACCTAGCAGGTGATTTACTCCAATTTTCTATAGAAGATGTGCTAGAAATGTGTTTTATGTTTGCATATTACTATTTGGTATTCCTAATACATTGCTCAATCTTACACTTACTTTCTACTAAGGCAATGAAGGCAGGGATATATTCCATTGTAAACAAAGGAGTCGGCAATTCTCTTATAAACATCTTAAGCAGACCGGCTGCATCATTGTTTCGAACCTTTTTCCAGTCAAAACTGTTGTTATAAAACTTTGTCTCAAGCTCCTGACGCAGGCTCTGCACAAAAGAGAATACATTTTAAGATTCAAAGTTAAAATGTCAATGAGTTTCTTTTTTTACATTGTTACATTGTTTCTTTCAAAAAAATTTATCCAAAAAAGTATTGCTCTGAACTGGCTACCCACTAATTTCTGACTGCCATTTAAAGTTGTTGAACTTCAGAGAAACAGCGTAACACACATTATTATGAGGTCTATTCACAAAGCTAACGAAGGATCTAGCCATAGCTTCGGCTGATCCTTCAGGTAGCTTTGGCCCCAGGACCCCTTTGGCTCAGGGCTGCTGTACGGGCTATTCACTATAGCCCGTACAGCCCCCGAAGTTGGCCGAGGGGCTCAGTCGAGCCGAAGGCATATGCTTCGGCTCGACTGAGCCCAGGGCAAATTCGAAGTTGGCCGAATGGCCTGCTTCTGACAGCTGGGCGGAGCCAGCCGTCATCTCACAGCTGGCTCCGGCCACTTGCAGAGAGATCAGCGTCCCTGGTTACCTGGTAACCAGAGACGCCATTCTATCATTACACTGAGAACCCGTCGTAGCTGCTGTAAAATCATAGCAGCTCCGCCGGGTTCTGTGTGTAATGACACAAGGCGTCCCTGGTTATCTGGTAACCAGGGACGCCTTGTGTCATTACACTGCGGCTCCTCAGTACACTGAGAACCCGGCGGAGCTACTGTAAAATCACAGCAGCTCCGACGGGTTCCGTGTGTAATGACACATGGGCATCCCTGGTTACCAGGGACACCCATGTGTCATTACGACAAGAGCTTAGGAGAGCCGGCAGTGATATGAAACCCGACTCTGCTAAGCTCTCATCTTAAGGAGAGAACAGCATCTGCTGGTTACTAGGTAATGAAGGCCTAAGGCAACTTTGTGAATAGACCCCTATATATATATATATATATTACAGGTATTTATATTGCACTGACAATTTACACAGCACTTTACATAGTGGCACGTTCACATCAGTTCCTTCCCTCAAGGAGCTTACAATCTATGGTCCCTATCTCCGATGCATACATAGAGGGCCAACTTAACGAGGAGCCAATTAACCTACCAGTACGTCTTTGAAGTGTGGAAGGAAACCCACGTAAGCACAGAGAGAACATACAGACTCCTTGCAGATAGTGACCTGGCCGGGATTCAAACGAGGGACCCCCAGTGCTGCAAGGCAGAAGCGCTAACCACTACGCCACTGTGCTGCCTACGTATGTTTATATACTAACTGTTTTACTTTCTAAAGGATCTGTAACTAGACACCTCTGCTATACAGTATGGCATACCTCTGCCACAAAGTGCAGTCAGGTCATGGGCAGACTACACTGCCAAACTCCAGGTGCAACAGAAAACATTTATTTACTGTATCTGTTTGCATGAAGTTCTATTTTAATGAATATACATTTGGGCATGCATAAGTACACTTATCAATCAAACAAATAGGTGACTTCTTATCAGTAACAATTGTAAAGAATATAAATTGTAGTTTGCTTTCACTGTGGTTTATGTCTTATATAAAGAGCTTACATTACATACTCAGCACAGGGCCTCTTTAATTGTAACCATATGTTTCAAAGAGCCAACAGTTTTTGGATTCTTTTGCTAATTCCAAATAAGCCAACATATTTTTTCTTTTAAATCTGGATGTGTTTAAAATGTATGCAGTTTCAGCCTAATTTATCCTTGTGACAGATTTCATCATCATTCATGAATTTCATGATGTGAATGCAAGCCAGAAGGATTTCAAACAATCCCACACGTGCAGCACATCAATCCCACATCTGAACATTTTAGAAAAAATTATTATATCACATGTATGAAGTCACTCCTGCGAATGAAAGAACCATAAAAGAGAAAAGACTTGTCTTCAGATAAAATAGTTTGTAAGTCAGGTTATAAAACATAATAGTGTGGCTACATATAAATTGTTAGCCTTTTACCCCCCATACACAGCAGGACTGTAAAACTAAAATCTACAAGACTGTAAAATTAAAAATCTGCAGCCATTAAAAATATTATGAAAAGAAAATCAATGTCTCTGTACGTTCAAGTTGTGTACACAGATTTATGAAACTGCAGCAAAAGCGGAGCTGTTGTCAATAAAAACACCCAACCTCCTTTAAAAATTAAGCATAACTGGTTGTGTTACTTTTACTCCAGTTTTCATACACATACATTATGTAGGAAATATACTAGCCTCAGCCTTGCAAATCTTAATGCTATTCATGCTACTGAATGCTAGTCAGCAATGGTGTTGCTAGGCCCGATAATTCTGACCACTCACCCTGCAACCTGCACCTATTTTGTCTTTATTTTTTCCCAAAAAATACCACATTTTTTTCTTTATCCACTTTACTGCTTCGATACAAATGCTGCAGTGAGAGAGCAGTGGGACAGGGGGCTACACATTCATCCTTCCATCTCTCCTCTATTACTGATGAGTATATTACCTTGAGCACCAGGAAATATATTTTAGGTCCTGCCCTCTGATTTCTTCCCTGGTGCCCAATGGCCTGAGGTCAGCATGCAGCCCTCTGGATCTTGCCTTGCAGTCCCTGGACCCTAGCAGTCATTAGTGGCAGCATTGATTTTGTAAATTGCCTGTAATGGCAGTCATTTGTAGCAGTCATATGTAACATTTCCCCAGTCTCTGATTGATTCCTACAGCATATCTCCAACCACGCTTGCAGCATATCCATGGTCTCTGACTGTTTCTTCTATTAAAGGAGAACTATGGGGTTAGGGCTTTTCCCCATAGTTCTCCTAAGGGTAACGGGAGGACACAAACTAGCGTCCTCCCGTCACCCTAAGCTCAGTATACCGCGAGGTACAGCTCGCGGTATACTGAGACGCCGCAGCTAAAACGGATCCCGACAATTATGTCTGGATCCGCCCAGCTGCGTGAGTGACAGCTGGCTCTGCCTATCTAGAGGTAGAGCCAGCTGTACTCGCCCCCTCCCCCGTCCGTTCCGCCAGTCAGCACTGGAGGATCGGGGGGAATCCAGTCCCTCCCCTGTCACAGCTCTCTGCCGTGACAGGATCGAGAGGTGAGCGAACGCCGGTATGTGTTCACTCACTTCCCGATCTACTGAGCCGACCTGTGGCAGTTTAGTTGTCACAGGTCGGCTAGAACTATGAGGATGAGTGGAAAGCACTCACCTCACAGTTCTCCTTTAACTCTGCAGTCCCTGATAGTCTTGCATGGCCTCACATATATTTTACACTATCTTTTTTTCATTTTAAAAAAATACCACAATGCAATGCAGGTTTTTCTGAGATCACATTCACAGTGATATGTCCTTATAGAAAGACTTAGGGGTCTATTCACGATGCTGCCGAAGGATCTGGCCGTAGCTTTGGCCGATCCTTCAGCTAGCTTCGGCCCCAGGACCCCTTCGGTTCAGTAGAACCGAAGGGGTGCTGTACGGGCTATTCACAATAGCCCGTACAGCTCCCGAACATGGCCGAGCGGCTCAGTCGAGCCAAACGCATATGCATCGGCTCGGCTGAGCCATTGGCCGGCCGACAGCCTGCTTCTGACAGCTGGGCTGAGCCAGCCGTGATCTTACGGCTGGCTCCGGCCACTTGCAGAGAGATCAGCGTCCCTGGTTACCTGCTAACCAGGGACACTGATCTCCAAACAGCTAACTCTCCCCGGCTCCCAGGGAGTCTCCTGCTCCTGGTCGCCAAGGAGAGAAACACTGCTGTGTCTTTTTTTTCTTTATTCTGACATGAGCGATGTCAGAGTAGAAAAAAAAAAATTCCCATTGAAATGCATTGGTACATTACTATCGTTTTCTATCAAAACTTTTTAAACTCTTTTTCTGTTCTACTCAGTCCCTCCGAGGGACCGAGCAGAACAGCCGAGCCGAATGACGCTCAGCGGCATTCGGCTATTCACTGACTGCTGTTCGGCATCTTTAAGAATAGGCCGAATAGCAGTGAGTAGCCTGCCGGAAGTTAGGCTCAGCCGATCCATATGTTGGATCGGCTGAGTCGAACTCCTTCTGCACTTCGGGTCGGCCGAACATGCTGAGCATGTTCGGCCGACCCGAAGCCACGCGAAGCAAGCCGATGTACGGCTGATTTCAGCCGATGTACGGCTGAAATTAGCCGTACCAGCCTGAAGTGAATAGTGAATAGTGAAAACAGTGTTCAGCTCACTTCACTTCAGGTCGGTCATTCACTCGGCTGCCTACGGCAGCTTAGTGAATAGACCCCATAGAGTACAATGCAAACCCTTAACACTCACAGCCCCTACAAACATTACAAAGAAGAAGAAGCCAACCAAAGTAAAAGCTATTTAAACTGCAACAAACATTTTTCAAAATATCTTTTACTTATGCTATGTGAATGGGAACATGTAACAAATATAAAATCTGTGCTACCCCAATTTGGCTGCAAAAGTGGAAATACACTTTAAGCTTCCTGGTCCCATACCTGTGCTTTGCCTTGTTTCTGGATTCCTTCTGTTACTGACCTCTTGCTTGGATACAACCATTCTTCTTTTAGCTGCCTACCCTGACTTCTTGCCTGGGTAAAACCATTCTGATTGCTGTCTGTTCTGACCTCTTACCTGCATACAACTATTCTTCTAATTGCTGCAAGCCCTGACCTCTTTCCTAAATATGACTCTTGATTGCTGCCTATGCTGACCTCTAGCTTGGATAAAGTGCTCAGTGATTGCCTGCCGCCTGCCCAGACCCCTGCAAGTTTGGTGTCCAGCCAGTCACAAGCACTGGTCACTCTTGCACACCACACTTTCCTTGAACATGGCCATATCACATGGCACGGAAACTATTTCTGTCTTTCAGGGTTGCTGGGGAGTGTCTCAGTCCAGCAAATATAGCATTGCATCTTAAGTACTGAGTCCATCCAAGAACAAGTTTGCATACTAGCCTCAAGGGAAAGGTGGCTGCAGAATGGGACATGAACTTTGTGAACACATACCAGGGGGAATGATAAATATTTGTTGAGATAAAGGGGTAACATAGTAATACTAAGAAACAATGTCAAAGAAATGTTAGCATTAAACTGGTTGATTTTAATTGCTGTCTGCAGATAAATTTGAGTGGAGGGACTATATTTCTTGCAAGATTTCAGTTGCTACCAGAAGCAACACTATAACGGAGTTACACTGTTTACAATATTCAATAACTGGCAAGTAAATCTTACACATCAAGTGCTGAAGCTCCTGATTATTAGTACCAACCTTTCATGGACACAACAATGTATCTCCCCCACTCAGCCAGTTAACCCAGCCAGTGGACAGATTGCTTTTACAGATTGCCTATAAGTTGCAGTATGTT